TAATTAATTGTTAGATCAAAAAGTAATCTGATTACGTAATGCATATTACATATAATTAATTACTTGTTAGATCAAAAAGTAATCTGATTAGGTAATGCACATTTCTTGTAATTACTTGTAAGATCAAAAAGTAATCTGATTTAAAAAAGTATTCTGATTAGGTAATGCACATTTCTTGTAATTAATTGTTAGATCAAAAAGTAATCGGATTAGGTAATGCACATTACTTATTAATTACTTGTTAGATTAAAAAGTAATCTTATTATGTAATGCACATTTCTTGTAATTACTTGTTAGATCAAAAAGTAAACTGATTAGGTAATGCACATTACTTATAATTAATTGTTAGATCAAAAAGTAATCTGATTAGGTAATGCACATTACTTATTAATTACTTGTTAGATTAAAAAGTAATCTGATTATGTAATGCACATTTCTTGTAATTAATTGTTAGATCAAAAAGTAATCTGATTATGTAATGCACATTTCTTGTAATTACTTGTTGGATCAAAAAGTAATCTGATTAGGTAATGTACATTTCTTGTAATTAATTGTTAGATCAAAAAGTAATCTGATTATGTAATGCACATTTCTTGTAATTACTTGTTGGATCAAAAAGTAATCTGATTATGTAATGCACATTTCTTGTAATTAATTGTTAGATCAAAAAATAACCTGATTACGTAATGCATGTTACTTGTATAAAACATTACTTCACTCGTAACATTTAAACAAATCTGATTATGTAATGAATGTACTTGGAACACATTACTTTACTTGTTGCATCAAAAAAGTAATCTGAATTTGTTATTCATGTCTTATAATGCATTACCCCAACACTGCTAATTTCAGATGAGATTGAAAAAAAAAAAAAACCTATCGCTAGAGTTTCTTAAAAGAGGGGTATGCTGGAAATGTGTCAATCTTGAACATAATCAGAATTATCAGCTAATAAGGGTAAATCGACATACTCTGACACACTGGAGGAACATCCGAGTGGTTTCCACAGTTGTACATTGACAGGCTGTAGAAAATCCTGATGGAATCACGTCCTCATGTTCTGATATCAAAGATACCCAAAGTGCAAATTGTATGAAGGTCAATTGCCTTTGCAATATTTCGGATTTATATTTTCTAATATATTTTATAGTTTTCACATGATTTGATATAATTGTATAGATTAGTTTGTTAAATACATAGTATAGATTAGTTTGTTAAATACATACTTTATATGTTTGATTATTGTATGTGTAATACAGCATCTCTTCAATAAATGCATGACATCTGAAAATCTCTTTGAAAAATTTGTTTAAAAAATTGAATAAAATCTTTTTTTATGCCCCAAGAGCAATAGAAACACATAAAAAAGTCCTGACTGAGATTATCATAATTCATGCATGAAAAGGTTAAATAATAATTAAAATACTATTTTTATATCAGTTAAAATACTATTCCAAACTTGGGCAGAAGATAGTCAAAATAGTATATGAAAGAATAAAAAAAAAAAAAAAAAAAAAAACATTTTCTATCAGACCCCAGATCCTGTGTCAGTTATAACTATGGTAACTCCAAGTTCTTATTTAAATATGCAAAACTGTTACCCAATCACAGCAGTGGGCGTTTACTTCAAGTCTTGAATGGCATGGCCATGAAGTGTTTGAAAGAGAGGGTCAAAAACAGGATAATAAATAGCATTTACTTTTAAATTAGGATGTTTTTTGATGTTACATTATAAGTGGACCAAGCATTTTAAAAATGCTGTTCATGACCCCACACGAAATGCAAACGAGCTGTCTTATGCAAACCTTTGAACTAGCATACAAGAAAATGCAAATGAGCTTTTAGGGTTGCAAACAGAACTGCCTTTCATAGTAAATCCACACAGGATGTAGTTTACCCCGTATTTTAATGTATTCAGTGCATTTAGATATGATTTTATATATATAAAAAATAATGCATTACAAAGAACATGTAAAATCAAAATAAGACCTGAATAGTGAATACGACCAGAAAAATGTACGTAAACTCAAATAAGACCAGAATCCATGTATCTAATAAAAGTAGAGCTTTGTTTATAGTAATTCTGCCTATATTCATTCAATTGAATATCTGTACAAGCCCCCAGATTATCTGAAATCTCGTACCTAAATAGAGGTGCGTTCCATTCGACCATAAGTGGACTTTACAGGGTATTTCGCCATCTTAAAAGGCCCCATTCTTCGTGATCCCATGTATCAAACTTTAGTTAGTGTGTAATTTTGTTGTTAGAGTATAAATAATATCTGTAAAATTATAAAGCTCAAAGTTGAATGCCAAGCGAGATATTTTATTTAACAGAAGAAGCCTACATCGAATGGCCCGTTTGGACTACATCCCTGTACTTCCTTCTTTAATGACGTCAGTAGAACAGTTTTTTGATCATCAGTCGGACCTGGTCCGAAACAGCAGACTTGTATGCTATTAATAAATAATGGATACATACAAGCAGATGACAAATACGTTATAATAACCATAATTAAACTACTAAACTATACCTGTTCCATCTCTATATAGCACTCTGACTCCGTAGGCATTATTATCCGACTCGAAATGAACACCGTTACTGAGAGTTTTTGATATTGTCATCATTCTGTGAGATTAAGCGCGAGCTCATGAAGCTCCGCCCCCTGTGCCGGCAGCAGCAGCAGCTTATTTGCATTTAAAGGGCACACACTAAAACAGTGCGTTTTTCTGACCCCCAAAAATGACAATTTAAACATGCTGTAAAAAATGATCTGTTGGGTATTTTGAGCTGAAACTTCACATACAAATTCTGGGGACATCAGAGACTTATTTTAGGGGAATAAGAAGGGGATAATACGGGACCTTTAACCTCCTGAGACCCGAGAGTTTGCCTGGTGTGCATTTTATAATTTTTCTTGCTATTTGGGACAAGTAGGACCTAATAAGTATAATAACTAAAATTTGTTTTTGTACAGGAAGTAGTTTTTGCATAAAATGATGTCCTCATGCAAGGACAGTGGGTCTATCTTAACTACTTGAGACCTGAGTTTTGGTTTGGTGTGCTTTTAGATTTCTTAGCTTTTTGGGGTTAGGAGGGAGCAAGAAATATAACCAGATATTATATTTGAACATGAAGCACTTTTTGAAAAAACAAAAAACAAAAAATTGTCTGTATGCACAGAAAACAATCAATACACCATTGTGTAAAAAAGTGCAAATCTATTTTTTTTTACAGCATGAGCATTGTGCCTGAACATTTTTTATTGTTACTCTTGCATGCATAACTTCTGAAAATTGATATGGAAAAACAAAATAAATATAATAATGAAATATAATATCCATAATAATATATAATATCCACATAAAAAAACATATCCAAAACAAATTGAAAATTTGATTTCTTTTTTGCAATGCTCCAAAATTTCTGCTTCTCCAAACTAGAAATGTTCTTTTTATCTGTGGGAACAGTGGATCACACTTAACCGGTGTGAAAGACTGTGTAACTGTTGCCCCTGAACCCTCCATGGGCTTTATTCGTGCCCAGGAGAGGTGCACCATTGGATGCTCAATTCTAAAAATCAGCCCATCTTTTCCAGGGGATTTTTTGATTTTCAGAGCTCCACCACGGTGGAGATCGAGCAAGAGAGAGCGTATGTGTGTGTGTGTGCGCGCGATCGCGAGTGAGTGATGTGTGTGTAAGCGATAGCGAGTGAGTGAGCGAGCGAGAGAGAGAGAGAGAGAGTGCGCGCGTGTGTGTGTGTGTGCGAGTGAGCAAGTGTGTGTATGTGTGCATGCGCGATCGTGAGTGAAGCCCCGCCCCCTTGAGTGTGTGTGTGTGTGTGTGCGATCGAGTGTGTGAGCCTGCCACGAAGCTCAATGCAACTACAAATTTTCATTTTTTTTTGCAAGTTTCAACGAAGCTTAGTCCCAATGTCCACATATGGGGACATCAACTTTAGCAGCTTGGTAAATCTTTATTTTTACAAAAGTTTGTCAAATGTGCATGCCGTTTCAAACATACAACACTATTATGCATAACTTAACAAGAATCAACAATGAAATGTTATTAGATTGTTTACCTTGTGGAAGTTTTGGTCTGGAGTGGCTGCGTGACATGTGACCTGTTTTCTCTGCCATCTTTAAATTATTTATGTTAATTTTTTTTCTCTTCTGACGCCACCAGATGGCAGTGTAAGTGTCCTCGTTTGTGAAAAACATGTTCCAGTCACACAGAATTAAGTATTATGCTGCACAGAACCAAAAATGTGATGTCCCCGTATGTGCACGCAGGGTCTCAGGAGGTTAAGTGAGATTCCAATCTGAATTGAACGAACATGTTCAGTTCGAAGGGCACTGAAAACGCCGTAGGGAATAAGGGAACATCGAAACATCACTTCACAGGAAGTGGCGAGTGAAAATCAACCAACTGTCATTGTGCACCGCATCATCAGTCGGAACCAAGGGGGTAATCCATCGACCGGAAGTTGAAGCCTCGCGGGAGCTGCCATCTTGTATACAGAACTTCACTTGCGTTAGCATTCCCATTGACTCCCATTCATTTTGACGTCACTTTGACAGCGAATAACTTTACATCTGAGGTGTTTGAAGACCCCATTTGTCCATTATTTATTTATAAAGAAACACGACAATGTATAAAATGATCCATTACTTTGTAGCTTATGTTATGGCCCCGTAGAAGCAGTTTTTTGTAAAAGTAGGCTAACGATTGCGTCATAACCACGCGACTCTCTGTCGCACAGTAGAGAGATTACCGTATGGACAGGAGAAGAAGCTCACGTGCAATCGGGGAAACGTGGAGGCAAAATGACAAAATAATTAATCAGAATACCTAGCTAAAGTTTATCGTAGCTCATGGACAGCTCCTATTCACACTCTCCGCCTCTGCAAGTTTTGGAAGGGAATGATTCAGATTTCTCATGGCACAGCCACTAGAAGACAGACGGGTTGCTCACGTCACATCTACGTCGTCAAGCTCTGTTTGAGTCGGTAGAAGAGATTTTAAATTTAAATTTTGCATTGAGTATTCTTAAATATTATTATTATTATACAAACTAGAGTATTTATGAATGGTTTGGGGTGATGAATGTATCTATAGGCCTATATGATTTTAAATTAGAAAGGAAAGTACATTTTAATTAAGACATTTAACATTTTATTAAGTTATATCATAATCTGCGTGACCCTGTTGTTGCCTTTTTTTGATGACGTTTCAGGGCATTCCAAATGAGTGAATATTGACAGCGAAGTCCACTTCAACTGATGTACCGTGTTTAGGGAGTAGGGAGCAGTGAACACTGCGTAGGGACCCTGTCGAATGGAACGCACCTTAAAATTGGAGTGGAATATTCAAGGGCAGTTTGAAAGCCCAACCCGATGACGTCGCCCCCTATTGACTTGGCTACACTTGTTTCAACCGTTAGCATACCTTTAACATTCTGTAGTGTACACTTAAATACGTTTGTATGCAGTAGATAAAAAACCCAATGAAATACATTCTAAGAAGAAAAATGAAGATGACACTAAAATTTTCATACTCATTATCCTGAGCTCATTATACCGATAATACCTGTTACCCTCATATACATTTCAGTATGCTCTTTAGTTACAAGATCCAACTCGTATTACTTAAAAGTACTATTGAAGGAAAAGTCAAAACCAGCTGACAATTCTGCAACATACATGTGAACTCCTTAGTGTTTAAAAAACATCCCAGCATGCATGGAGTCGAGAGAATGTTCAGAATCAGAGCCGGAATCTACACAAAGAACAAGTTTAGATTTAAGTTTAGTTGAACATGTTTTGATCACAATTCACTACATCATTTTCATTTTGTGTTACTTTGCTATTATTATACTATATAAAACATACAATAAGGTTCCATTTGTTAACATGAACTAACAATGAAAAATACTTCTAAAGCATTTATTTTTCTGAGATTATATTAAAATCAGAAGTTGTATGTTTTAATGGACCTGAACTAACAATGAACTAACAATGAACAGTTGTATTTTTACTTACTAACGTTAAGATTAAGATTATTAAATACTGAAACAAATATTGCTCAGTGTTATTTAATGTTAGTAAATGCATTAACTAATATTAACTAATGGAACCTTATTTTAAAGTGTGACCAAAATAGTCTGAACAGATTTGTCAATAAGTTTGATTGAAAGAGAGAGAAAAAAAAAAAATCTAATTAATCAAAGATTAATAATGTGTAAGGAAAATCATATTTCACCTGAAGTGTCCCTTAGTATTTTATGCATTTTAGATGGTTCTTGAAAAAATTGTGACTTATTTTTGTCTGTGAATCACTTTTGGGAGGATGCCTGTAGGAACCATACTTGTCTGTGCGACCATATTTTTGGTGACCAATTCTGAGACCTTTGCAGGTGACAACAAATAAATCTCCAAGTCCGTCAACAAAGAATTCTGTAAATAAAAAAAATAAAAATTAAATCAGATTCTTGTTTCTTAAAACTAAAGTTTATTTATTGGCATCAATGTTTCCATAAAGAACCTTCAACATTCATCTAAACTTTACATTCCACAGAAGGTTTGTAATTGTGGAAAATGTTTCTTTAGATTATTAAATAGCTCTTTACATTAAAAAAAAGCTTATTTTAAGAAATGTTCACTGAGAGGTTCTTTGGGGAATCAAAAAAGGCTTTTATTCACAGATAAACATTGATCAGCGAACATAAAATGAAGCTCAACCGAACCTACTTGACGTGTGAGAACAAACCTCAATGGTTCTTGAAGATGCTCAAACATGCTGCGTAACACGAGAATGAACCTAATTGGTTCTTGAAGAAGCTCAAACGTGATGCGTAACACGAGAATGACCCTCATTGGCTCTTGCTGAAGCTCAAACATGATGCGTAACACGAGAATGAACCTCATTGGCTCTTGCTGAAGATCAAATGTTCTGCGTAACACAAGAATGAACCTCATTGGCTCTTGCTGAAGCTCAAACGTGATGCGTAACACAAGAATGAACCTCATTGGCTCTTGCTGAAGATCAAATGTTCTGCGTAACACAAGAATGAACCTCATTGGCTCTTGCTGAAGCTCAAACGTGATGCGTAACACAAGAATGAACCTCATTGGCTCTTGCTGAAGATCAAATGTTCTGCGTAACACAAGAATGAACCTCATTGGCTCTTGCTGAAGCTCAAACGTGATGCGTAACACAAGAATGAACATCATTGGCTCTTGCTGAAGATCAAATGTGCTGCGTAACACAAGAATGAACCTCATTGGCTCTTGCTGAAGCTCAAACGTGATGCGTAACACAAGAATGAACATCATTGGCTCTTGCTGAAGATCAAATGTGCTGCGTAACACGAGAATGAACCTCATTGGCTCTTGCTGAAGCTCAAACATGATGCGTAACACGAGAATGACCCTCATTGGCTCTTGCTGAAGATCAAATGTGCTGCGTAACACGAGAATGAACCTCATTGGCTCTTGCTGAAGCTCAAACGTGCTGCGTAACACGAGAATGACCCTCATTGGCTCTTGCTGAAGCTCAAACGTGATGCGTAACACAAGAATGAACATCATTGGCTCTTGCTGAAGATCAAATGTGCTGCGTAACACAAGAATGAACCTCATTGGCTCTTGCTGAAGCTCAAACATGATGCGTAACACGAGAATGACCCTCATTGGCTCTTGCTGAAGATCAAATGTGCTGCGTAACACGAGAATGAACCTCATTGGCTCTTGCTGAAGCTCAAACGTGCTGCGTAACACGAGAATGACCCTCATTGGCTCTTGCTGAAGCTCAAACGTGATGCGTAACACGAGAATGAACCTCATTGGTTCTTGAAGATGCTCAAACGTGCTCATTCGTTCTTGTTGAAGCTCAAACAGGATACGCAAGACAATAATAAACCTCATTGGTTCTTGCTGAAGCTCAAACGTGATGTGTAACACAAGAATGAACCTCATTGGTTCTTCAAGATGCTCAAACGTGATGCGTAACACAAGAATGAACTTCATTGGTTCTTGCAGAAGCTCAAATGTGATGCGCAAGACAAGAATGAACTTCATTGGTTCTTGAAGATGCTCAAACGTGATGCGTAACACGAGAATGAACCTCATTGGTTCTTGAAGATGCTCAAACGTGATGCGTAACACACGAGAACCTCATATTTCATAGTTCTCACACTTTTATTTTTGGCTTTTAACTATCCTTTTAAACTCTAAAATATGTTGTAACTTATTGTTGAAGCTTAATTTCACTTTGCAAGTCTATTTGGAAATAATTAAACAACAGACCCCATCCAGAACGCATCGTGTGACTTCATTTGATGTGGATGTTTTCAATCAACAGTTTGAAGTCCACCTACCACCGTGAGCCACTCTTTTGTAGAACGGGTCAAAGCCGACCCGTCGCACAGCATCCGTCCGGCCCAAGAAGTAGTTGACAACTACATCCACGAAGAAGCAGCCGTCAAAACCTGGCAGAGGCGCGTGGGTACGGCTGACCCGCGATATACAGCCGCCTTCATCGCTACTCCCTTCCTCATATTCCAGCTTAAACAAGAACTGATTTCCTTGTACCTCACCACCAACCTGATGGAGAGAGACAGAATGAATGAGTAATAGCCTAACTACAAAAAAGATGACTGGAGTATTGTTCACAGGAATACAGATTAGAAAACAGTTCTTTAAAACTTAAAAAAAAAAATTAATTCCATAATATTTACTATTGTACTGTTTTTGATCATATGAATGTGCAGAGAGCTGAAGATATCTAACTGACCCCAACTTTTATATTTATTTGAGGTCATCAAGATGATATAATTGACATAATTACCACATCTAGTTCAGGAACGGCTTCCATAATGTTTACAAAGCTTTCAATACGCGTCTCATTAAGAAACAAAAAGTCATCATCCACCCACAGGAAGTACTTAGTGGTGACCTGTGACACAGCCAGATTTCTGCCTGCAAACCAGCCCTGAAAGACCAAACAATATTTATAAACTTTTATACTTCAAGCAAATTACAATAACATTCAGTTTAAACAACCTGATGTTTGTACCTGTGCAGGGGGCATTACATAGTGTTCTATATTCTCACCGACCACCTTCTCTGGTTGCAGACTGTCATCAGCAATAATAATCTTTATTTTTGGGTAGAGCCGACGAACACTATCGATGAGGACATTTAGTTCTTTATATCTCAAAAAAGTTTTAACTAGTACAGTCACCTGGGAGTTTATGTCTAGAGAGAGAGAGAGAGAGAGAGAGAGAGAGAGAGAGAGAGAGAGATAGAGAGAATTATGAGCCCATGAAAGGTCAGTGTGGTGATTGATTGTGTTCACAATAATAAATTAATCAACAGTCATTTGTTCAGGAGCATTGTTACTAGCTAGGTTCCCATCCAAAAGTGCAAATTTAACTGTGCAAAATTGTTATATTGCATAAAACATGTGCGATAAAGCACTGTTTTCATCTAATGCATTCCAGAGAACAAAATCAATGGAATTTGAAAATGGAAAATGGAATTTGATGCAATCAGGGAAGCCACTGTATCTTTTTGCATCTCAGAGTGTACATCATGGGCCAGTGAGAGTTGTACGTGTAAATCTCACTCCCCTGGCCTCAAAAGGACCTCTTGCAGCAGGTCGAGTAGAACCAGTTTATTGGTGCCGTGACCCGGATGGGATTGAGGTTTAGGGGGTGAGTGTACCGGATGTAGACCAATAAGAGCTGGGCGTGTAAACCTCACTCCCCTGGCCTCAAGAGGCTGAATCCAGCTTGCAACAGGTTGATTAGAACAAGTTTATTGGTGTCGTGACCCGGGTGGGATTGAGGTTTAGGGGGTGGAGTGTACCGGATGTACATCAGTAAGAGCTGTGCATGTAAACCTCACTCCCCTGGCCTCAAGAGGCTGAATCCAGCTTGCAGCAGGTCGAGTAGAACCAGTTAATTGGTGCCGTGACCCGGATGGGATTGAGGTTTAGGGGGTTAGTGTACCGGATGTAGACTAAAGAGCTGTGCATGTAAACCTCACTCCCCTGAATCAAGCTTGCAGCAGGTCGAGTAGAACCAGTTTATTAGTGCCGTGACCCGGATGGGATTGAGGTTTAGGGGGTTAGTGTACCGGATGTAGACTAAAGAGCTGTGCATGTAAACCTCACTCCCCTGAATCCGGCTTGCAGCAGGTCGAGTAGAACCAGTTTATTGGTGCCGTGACCCGGATGGGATTGAGGTTTAGGGGGTGAGTGTACCAGATGTAGACCAGTAAGAGCTGTGTGTGTAAACCTCACTCCCCTGGCCTCAAGAGGCGCTAGTGGCTAATGCTAGAGGCTGCTCAGAGTGGGTCGAGTAGCACCGGTTACATTTATGAGTATGAGTTTTTTGTTGAGCATCGAGGATTCATATAGCTTTCACAGACCCAATGGCCACCAAAGCGTTTTACATATTACCTCACATTCACCCATTCACTAACTCATTCAAGAGGAGTAGCATAAGCAAGATAAGCAAGGATTTAAAGGATTTTTTTAAATTACAATACAAATCACAGAAGCTGACAAATATGAAAAAAAAACCTTAAAATAAAATTTAAAGTAACTAAAATAAAACTGTTCAGAAGGTTACATATATTAAATATATTGTGTTAATACTTGAGCTCACCTTTTCCCACGTCAAACAGAACAGGAACGGACAGACGTCTGATCTCAATCGGGAATATGACTTCATGGTTCTCAAAAGAGAAGTATGCTAAAGACAAAAACATTTGTAAAAATATTCTTTGTACATATAAATTGAATTGAGCAAGTCAGTACATTTAGATTAGATAAAAAAAGTATCATCAAAGTGGACCATATAACTCAATATAGGTTTGTTCATACAATAAAAGTCGGTGAGGTCTAATGTTGTTCTTGACTCTAATATTTATCAAAACATCTCCTTTTGTGTTCAGCAGAAGAAAGTCAAGCAGGTTTGGAATGACATGCGAGTATGATGACTGAACAATCCCTTTAGGTTACGTACCGAGGTCTTGGGTCTTGATGTGGTAGATGGTGCTGGTGTAGGTCACTCTGCTCAGAAGATCATTGAGCTGTTGAAGGTTGCTGGATGAGATGCTCAGATGTTTCTCATTCAGTCCATTCACCTGCTCACCCTCCTGAACATCCACTGAGAGCAGCCCTTTCTGCACCCTTAGAGACACCTGGAGACCGATGAGCCAGATCCGATGAGCTCATTTGATTATCTTTAACATCATGAAGTCTTTAAAACAATCCACCAACATTAAAAAAAAAACCAAAATGGCACAAACCATCAGATTAAAGGAGGAAAAACACAGTAAACCCGAGAGACCGTCTGAAACAAACCAATGACTGAGATATAAAACCCATCACCTTAATTAAACCATTTTCAGCAGAACAAACCTTGTAAACCACTCTGCTTTGTGTTTGCAGCGCTAGACCTTTAATAATGAAACATTTCTTTAATTAACATAGATAGAAATGCATTAATGTCATTGTTTAAATTAATATCAAAACCTAAATAAACACACACACACACACACACACATATATATATATATACACACACACACACACACACACACACACACACACACATATACTGTACACTACTGGTTCAAATTTAGCAATAATTTGGATTTTTCAAAGTTTTGCATTCATTTAATCAATATTACATTAGAAAAAGTAATATTGTGAAATATTACAAAATAGAATGTAATATATTTCTGTAAAATGTCATTTATTCCCGTGATTTAAAGCTGAATTTTCAGCATCATTACTCCAGTCTTCAGTGTCACACGATCCTTCGGAAATACCGATGATTTGATGCTAAATTATGATTCATTATTATGAGTGCTCAATTAATAATGGTCCTATTATTAGCAATGTTGAAAACAGTTGTGTTGCTTTTTTAAAAATGCATTTATTTTTTGCAAACCATGAGGATTTTTTAATGAGTAAAAACTTTTTTTTTCTAAAAACTTTCATTAAAAGAACAGCATTTATTTTAAATTTAAATCTTTTCATAACATTATACATGTTTGCCGTCACTTTTGATCAATTTAATGTATCCTTGCTAAATAAAAGTATTACTTTCTTCCAATTTATTTTCTGTTTTTTAATCTCAATTACTCTAAACTTTTTAATGGTAATGCATCATGATGTTTCCACAAAAATATGAAGCAGCGCGACTGTTTCCAACATTGATAATAATCAGAAATGTTTCTTGAGCATTATATTAGAGTGAATGATGTGACACTGAAGACTGGAGTAATGATAAATTGCATTTTATTCAAATAGAAAGAAAAGTGATTTTAAATTGTAATATTTTTCCTGTATTTTTGATCAAATAAATGGAGCCTTTGTGAGCAGAAGAGACAACCTTCAAAAGATTAACAACCTTCATTATTCCAAGTGTATGTGTATATCTTACATTATTCCAAGTGTGCAAATGTATGTCTCTCTGCAACTATTTGTTAATCTGAAATCAAGTAAAGGAGCCGTAGACTCAGTCTCACCAGGAATGAGTGTTTTCTTCATGGGAGACACTCTGAATCCTCTGATTGGATACTGGAGTGGGGTGTTGGCAGGGGCGAGAATAAGAACATCGTTTTCTTTCCCTGTCCTGAAGACACGTGTAATTGTAATTTTAAAGTACAATACAATAGACTAAATAATGTTCAACCAAAAAGTAAACATTTTAGTTATAACTTCATATGACATCGCCTAAAGGACAACTCCGGCGCAAAATGAATCTTTGGTCTAATAATCGCGGTAGAGTGCAGAATGAATGGGAGTCAATGGGGTTTCACCCCCATAAATCCACTTTTCTCAGGATGTAATTTTTTGTCAAGTAATTTGAAGGTTTCATTCAAAAGGGAGGGCTAAGATAATACACTCAGCTGAAAATTGCATTTTTAAGTTCACTTATCTGTTCTAAAAATCCGTTCAAAAATGTGATGACGTCACACAATAGCAGAACGCTAGCGTGTTCCGGCCAACAACAGCCTCCTGTAAGAAATCAAAAGGACATAAGTACTCATTCATTCGACTTTTGGCCTATAATCTATATTGAACTTGCGGAATCAACAATAAAATCGATGTTAATTTAACGACAAGCAGGCGAAAGAGACACATTTAGCCATTTAGCCCCATAGACTCCCATTCATTCTGCTCTCGCCCGCGATCACCTCCAGTGGAATTCTAATGGAACTGCAACCAGGATGATACACAATGGGGCTAATAGGAAGTGCCAAGGCTCTCCGTTAGACGGGCTCTGAAGAAGCCATCTTTGAAAAATAGTCTCTACCAGTCGATCTACGAACGCCGATCCAAGTGCGCTGAACTGTGCAGAATCTCATATGGTCCGTTGTTTCCGGAAGAAACACAAACACGAACCGTTTTCTTCTCTTCAATATGTACACGTAGCCTACTGTTCGCGCTCACCTTATCACCTTATTCACATCTCACCAGCGCACATGGATCGGCGTTCGTAGATCGACTGGTAGAGACTATTTTTCAAAGATGGCTTCTTCCTGTATTCGCGAAGTTGACTGTCAGTGTCCAAACAGTTTAATAAGAAGATATTTTATACACACAAAGTTCTCAATGCTTCAGTTTGAATGTAGGGACCCTTATTATGCTACCGTGTTAGTGTGGGGCTATTTTGAGCCTTGTTAGTGGTAATAACAAGCGATTTTTATTTGTCATTACTCTATGCCCTATATACTAGCTGTTACGCCTGCCTGTTTACCCCTACTGGCTCTGCTACACAGTGCAGACGTTAGTTGGGCAACAGGTGTATACAATCCAACCCGATCTCACGGGAATTCGTACGAATTTTACGAGGTGGCTAATTCGTAACAATTCATACGACCTCAGTCGTACAAATTAGTACGATTTTTGCTAAATCGTACATATTTTACGAATTGGCCAATTCGTATGAATTCGTACGAATGACCTACCCCTGACCCCGCCCCTAAACATAACCGTCACGTGGGTTTAGACAAATCGTATGAATTCGCACGAGTGAGGTCGTACGAATTAGTACGAATTAGCCACTTTTTAATCACTCGTACGAATTCGTACGAATTGGTCGTGAGATAGGGTAGATACAATCCCTAATTAACTCATTATAGGGGGTCGTTTAAAGACCTGTGACTTGGTGTGAGAGCTCTCTCATCTCTCACTCCTCTCTCACATTATTTCTTTAGCATTGTTGTTTTCCCATATTTATTTTTAGCGTCAGATATTGTTTACTTAGTAACCACGCGCGTGTGTTTTTCCCCCTCCCCTAGACGTCGGTTTTCTCTTTTTTTTTGGTTATTTAATATTCGTTTGCTTGGTTAATAATAAATTGGTTTATTGTTGAAACATTTGTTGTTTGCCTCTTTTATGTTGCGGTATATGAGCCAGCCGTGACATAGCGTTATAGGCTACACTGTTTTTAGAGATAAAACTATTTACATTCAGCAATCATCAAAAAAAATCTCAGATAACAGTTGACTAGGTAACAATGTGTAATTAGACCAAAGATTCATTTTGCGCCGGAGTTGTCCTTTAATAATTTAATTGTTTAACAAAACAATTTAAAAAGATAATTGTGACTTTATTTCACAATTGCAAGTTTACATCAACAGTTTACATTCTCAAAATTAAAACTTTATAGTTCACAATTCTGGCTTTATTTATAATTTGGGAGTTTATATCTCATTCTGACTTTCATGCAATTGTGAGTTTATATCTCACAATTCTGACTTTATAAGTAAGGCCTAAAGTACACCGTAAGTACTCGTATTGTAAAATAAAGTGCAATCACTTTAGTCTTGTGTAAAGTAAAATGTAATGTAAAGTCTTACATTTTCTTCAAGCTGTGTTTTAACAATTAGTCAGACTGCTTTTATAGGGTGTTTTTTATATGCTGATTTTGAAAAGATACGGTAATTGAGAAACCTTATCTGGTGTTGTCTGAACTCTTCTGCCCGCCGTTTCTGCATATCATCCAGTTCATCAATTGGCACAAACCGGTTTGCAAGATTGGTCTTTTGGCAGGTACAGGGCATTGGATTCTCATTGTGAAAAGGCCCTATACTGAGACATGCACACACACACATTTTTTTTTTTAAAACTTAAAAACACAAAAACAAGGAAAATACAAAAAAGTGAAATTAATCTACTCACTTTATTTTGGGAAAGTCTGGAACCTCGGTATCCTTGAGACATTGGGAACTTGAAAACCTTTTGGGTGGATCAACCATAAACCCATATTTGAGTACAATTTACATAACCAAATGATAAAATTTCTTCCTAAACCATCATGAGGCTACTTTTAGTGTTTTACTATCATAACATTTGTATTTGTAATATGGTTGGTTGATTCATGGATTTGTCAGGTAACCTCAAGCTGTGGTTTTCGAATTTGCGAGAATAAGAATGACAAAACGGTAAGGATTTTAACAGCAAGAATTAAAGACTATATATATACATATATTTTTTGTTGAAACAACATTTTATTCATTTCAAAATGTTGCTAAAAAAACCTATTATGCAACAAATAAATAAAATAAATTTCACAGAAGGAAGATGCTATTATCTTTCAACGGACGGTAAAAATGTAGGCTATAAGAATGTATGTTCTTATTATTACCCACAAATGAAAGGTTGATACCGGCAAGTAATAAATTCCTTACACAGATATACAGTATTTTCTATTATTTAAACATCTCGAACCTTTTCAGTATGACTATGTACTGCTTCGGGAAGTTTAACTTCAACTAGATTTAGAAACACTCTTAAGGGACTAACATTTCAGTAGCCCGATACGGGTGTTGTCATTATCATTCAAATCAGACAGATTCAAAACATTTTAAGATCCCTGATTTAAAAATGTGCTTCGTGAGTCAAATCTAAAGTCATATCATTGATCTGAGTGAATCAGTACACATTAGGAAAGCTACAAAAATAATTTAAAGGGTCATTTCAGGTACAGAGTGATGTAGAAAAGACAATAAAGTGACACATATACCTTAATAACTGTGTTGAGATTTTTCTCTTAAACTCCCAGTCAGAATAAAAGAACATCAGCAATCCCGTTAACAGAACGATGACTAGGCCTGCAGTTTTGCAGAGTCCAACTGAAACCATGTTTAAAGATCGTCCGAGGTGTTTTTACCTGGTGAAGAGCTGCAGGTGAATGAGGGAGTGGCAGGACTCCGGTGCCAGTGAAGTGTGATGTGTGGTCATTTACAGCTGCCAGCCTATTATTTCAATTCACAGATAATCATTTTCCCAGATTGGCCATTGCTTTCACGCGTCTCCTTAGAATATGTTTAACCCTTAAGAACCCGGACCAATTTCCTCTTATAGGAAAATTATGGGGTATATAAAACACACTAAATGGACCACTTAAAACATGTTTCTGCTGTTGTTGTTTTTTTAAGTACAACCACTCCTTGCCAAAGATCTGTAATGTTACATGTCACATTAGGTGTTTATGATACATTTTTTATGTTACATGTCACATTAGGCTTTTATTTCTCATTTGGAAAAATAAAACAATTTTGTCAGTTTTCTTGCTAAATAACTTTTTTTTCTTTTCCACAACATTTTCAAAAATTTTCTAGGAAGATTTTTTTCTTTTTAAGAAGTTATATTTTTGGCATTTTATTTGCTGTGCCACAAAACCACATAACTGTGACCTTTTCATGTATACGGTTTAATCAGAAATCATTTTAGTTTAGTTTATTAGTTTATAATGACATGAACAGTCCCTTTTTGATAAAAAAGAGCGGCTAATTTCCAGCCGTAGTCCCTGGCCAGTTGTCAATAGGCACATCAATAAAATACATTACAACTACACTTTCTTTTCTCTTCTATTCTATTTTAAAAATAAATAAATAAATTTAAAAAATGCACTAAAATTAAACTGAGAGGGGTTATAGCACTTGTCCTACTGTTAGTTTAACTGCTTCTATTGTTCTCATTTGTAAGTCGCTTTGGATAAAAGCATCTGCTAAATGAATAAATGTAAATACAGGACTTATCAAGAGGGGACGGACATACTAAACATGCGACACAATTCAAACAAATAGACAAGCAGAGGCATAACAATTCAAGCAACATTTTATTATATTATTATTATTTTATTTATTATTATTTTTTCACAACTCGAAAATGTGCAAACTGTATAAAACTAAATGACTACTTCACACTGGAGGTCAACATGTTGAACATGCATATAGTGCCATAACATTGCAAAATTCTACCGTTTCAGGTATACAGTTTAACCAGAAATACATTTTTTCATTATTTTTTCACAACTCAAAATGTGCATATATATATATATATATATATATATGTGTATGACTGTGTGTGTTTGTGCGGATGGAATCACACAGAGAGCAGGTGGATGGTCACTCAAGAATAGTCTTTACTGAGCCTGAGACAAACAGGCTGACACAAACAACCAAAAGCTGGTTAGTGGGCAGTGCATTCACGCATCAAATGTTGCTCACAGATCAGCAGGAGAGATGTGAAACTCTGCTCGTACATTTTACAAAGTGATCGTATAGTGGAATTAAAATTAAAAAATAGGACATACATTAAAGAAATAAAGTACAACTCACTGTCTCTGTTCTCATTTCTCATCAATTTACAATTGCAGACAGACAATACATTTAAGCAACCAACATTTTCATATTTTTGGTATAAAATTAAAAACAGAAAGACAAGAAAAGCCACCTAAAATGGCGCCGTTACTCAGTTCAGCACGTGCAAGCACACAGCACATTTGAGCACACACCACGTGTGCTAATGCTAACAATTAACTCAGCTAATACACCCTTGTGAAAAAGAAGTGTGCTTAATTGTATTGAAAGTGTACTTTTTGTGTGCTTAAACTCATGAAAGTATACTTTTTGAAAAGTATACTTTTAGACAAAAGTGTACTTGCAGATAATATAATACAATTACAATTAAAGACCACTTAAGTTTAACTTAAAGTAAGTACACTTTCATCACATTATTTATAAACACACTTAAGTGCACTTTTAAAAATGCACTTTGTAATAATATGTAATTAAGTTTAACTTAAAGTAAGTACACTTTCATGACAATATTTATAAACACACTTAAGTGTACTTTTTAAAAAAAATGTACTTTGTAATAATGTCTAATTAAGTTTTACTTATAGAAAGTACACTTTCGTGATCATATTTATAAACACACTTAAGTGTACTTTTTACAAATGCACTTTGTAATAATATCTAATTAAATTTTACTTAAAGTAAGTACACTTTCATCACAATATTTCTAAATACACCTAAGTGCATGTTTTTAAAAAATCAATTTTTAATAATGTCTACTTAAAGAAAGTACACTTTCATGTTTATTTTTCTAATCACACTTAAGTGCATGTTTAAAAAAATTCCCTTTTTAATTGTGTCTACTTAAGTTTTACATTTGAAATAATTATGATTTTATAGTGTTTTAAAGTTATTAAAGTTATAAGTTATTAAATGAAATGTATTTTGATAAATTGACTAATATACTAAATAAAATAATAATTTTAATGGAAAACATGGAAAGTAATTCATTTTAATTTCAACTCAAGTGTGTTGTCCAAAAACAATTAGTTCATTTATTTTAAATGTGTTTAATCTAGAATATATTGACTGTGTGCATTAATGCACTTGGAATGTGTTTTTCCAATAAATTTGCAATACAGTATAATCCAGGACAACTTATTGTTGACATTTTTTGTCAGTTTTCTACATAATATATGACAATAAAATGTAATTTATGAGAGGAGTTTTAGCATAACAGTAATGTGTTGTACTTTACATATGTGAGAAAGTCTACACTGAACAAAAATATTGACTTTTAGTTGGTTGAGAGTAGCGTTTTGTGAACTTACAGAGTATAACAACACAAAGAGTTAGAACAACTTCAACTTAAACAGAAAAGTTGAAATAAAAATATACTGTATATGAACACGGTGTTTAATGAGCATGCGCCAGACGTCACGATGACGCACTACTTCCCTAGAGTTTGAAAAATGCGCTGTTGTGTTTCTGCAATCGCGATGCATGAGGAAATGAAAACAAGAAGAGAACAAAAGGAGCACCACGTTTGGCTGTTTGCAGATGAGATGTTATACTGCAAATAATTAGTCAAGTAAGTATATCTTGATGCTTTCACCGCAGTTGATATTGCGATGAGTGCTTTTTAATCGCAGATAGTAACGTTGCTATACGCGATATAGATTCGGGAGCTAAATTGATCATGTTTCCAATAATTTATGTGTGACGCTGATGAGGTAATTCATCACATCACACATTCATCAACAGTTAGCAGTCAAAAGTTTACGTACACCTTGCAGAATAAACTGCTTCATCAGGGTAGTACTAAACAAAAAGACAACATATACATTTTTGTGAACATTTTGCAGATACTGCAAGGTGTATCTAAAACTTTAAAGGGAAAATATCTATCACTTTCATTCATTTGAGCCAAATTTAATAATGGACTGGATCTGTTTTATAAACAAATGTTTTCACTTTTTTTTTTCCTCAAGGTATTTTTTCCTGACTTTCCTGCCTCTTAATTTGGAACAAATCCATTCACATTTACTTTGGAGAGCACCGGGACATTGACATAAACAGGACTTTCCAACTACTTCAAAACATTTGGTGACAAATGATTTTGGTTTTCTTGTTTTTTTACCTTTGGATTTCTTCATTTTTTATTTTATTTTTTAGACAAAATTATATTCACTGTAATGCTGAAGTAAGCATTTTGTCCTCTTTAATGTTGGTGCTACGAAAAGGTTTAAGAGCTAAAATTAACCAGGTTTGTTAACACTTTAATTAGGTCTCATTTGTTAATATTAGTTTATGTATTAGCAAAACATGATCTAAAAAAATAGCATTTTTTACAGTATTTATTAATCTTTTATAATATTAGTTAATTCAAATGTAGTTTGTTAAAGTTAGAACAATTTATAGTTATTGTTCATACAAGTTCACAGTGCATTATAATTTTAGTACACAACTTTTGAATATAATAATGCATTATTAAATGTTGAAATTAACATTAACTAAGGCTAACAAATGCTTCAAGTATTATTCATTCTTAGTTCGTGTTAACTGAAGGAGTTAACTAATAATACCTTTTTCATTCCCTATTTGAATCTTAGTGTTCACATTTTGCAGTATAACATCACATTTTGTTTGTATTAATTCATGGGTTGTGTATTTGATGTAATGTGTGTTTGCTTCTAAAATGATTTGTACTGGTAATCCCTAGGTTATGGAGACCAAATTACCCCAAAAGTATAGTAATACCAGTAATTTACATGGAAACAATCTTATAAATCATACAGAATTATGTTTTCTGAAAATGTCTAAAATTCTGTCATCATATACTCACCCTCAACTTACATTTAAGTGATCTTATGAATCACTGACAACTCTTAAATAACTGGTTTGTAAATAATGCTATACTTCATTAAGAAATTATTAATTGATCATTAACAAAGTATGAAACTACAATTATTAAACACATTATAGATATGCTTATCAAGAAAAAAACATTTATTGCTGTATTTAGAAACTTATTATTAATGTCTATTAATGCTTTAAATGATTAACTGTTAACTCATGCTTATAATGAATAATAGTGTGCAGTTAAGTGTTACCTTTCTTTCTTCTGCTGAACACAACAGAGATATTTTGAGAAATGTCAGTAACCAAACAGTTAACTGGTCCCATTGACTTCCATAGTAGGAAACAAAATACCATGGAAGTCAATGGGACCAGCTAACTGTTTGGTTACTGACATTTTTCAAAATATCTTCGTTGTGTTCAGCAGAAGAAAAATTCATACAGGTTTGAAACAACTTGAAGGTGCGTATATAATGACAGAATTTTCATTTTAAGTGTTGTTGTAACCGTTTGTTTCTTGGGTTTTTTCAGAAAGGTTTTTATGTATTTATTTTAGAGATTGTTTTGTCAGTAAATATAGAGGGTTTTAAATTGAATTTGTGTTGATTGTAACTATATAGGTTATTAAGACTTTTTTTGTCCAAATTTGAAATAAATTGCAACTATATATTTTTTTAATTAAAAAATGTATTTAATGTAATAAACAAGTACACTATTATATAATTAAAGTATATTTTTGTTGACATTATTTGCTTGTCAGTATATTTGGAAGTACACTTTTACCATATTTCAAAAATCACTCTTAATATCAACTAATAGCATTTAATTTGAGCTTAATCTGTGATACATTTGAAATCAATTACATATAATATGCATTAAATTTATCAAAAACATTACACTTAAGTGTATTGTTGACTGACATTAAAGTACATTTTAGTTGACATTAATTGCGTCAATATATTGTGTAGTGCACTTTAACTGTATTTTAAATACACTGGAAGCAATTGTGAGAGTGTATGTAAAGTTGTATTAAAGTACCAATTAAGTTTTTCCAAAAAATCACTCTTAATGGCAACTTATTACACTTTATTTCAACTTAATATGTGATATATTTGAAATAAATTACACTTAATGTGCATTCAGTGCTCCGAAAATTTTTTATTTAATTCAAACGTAATTGTATTGTTGACTGACTTCAAAGTATATTTTTAATCACATTAATTGCGTGTCATCATATTGTTTAGTGCACTTTAACTATAATTTAAATACACTAGAAGCAATTATGAAAGTATATATAAAGTTGTATTAAAGTACCATTTAAGTTGTTCCAAAACATCACACTTGATTGCAACTTATTACACTTTATTTCAACTTAATATGTGATATATTAGAAATAAATTACACTTAATGTGCATTCAGTGCCCCGAAAAAATTGTTTTTAAATCACACTTAAGTGTATTCATTTAAAGTGTATTATTTTTGTAATAAGTACACTTTATAAAAGTACACTAAAGTGCACTTTTTTTTCACAAGGGCATGTATACACAGAACATGAAATATTCGAATATAAAAACATAACTGAGACAAACAAACAACAACTGGTTAGTGGGCAGTGCACGCATCAAATGTTGCTCTTGCTCACAGATCTTAAATGGAATCAACAGAGAATTGGAGTTCACAAGCAGATTAACATACACAGTCATCACATTTCACCATCGCAAATAACAAACACATTTGACTCGACTGAAAGATACGTGAAGTAAACTTGTTGTGTGCAGTATTAAAGTCCATCCTTGCACTTTAAAACATAAACTCCATTTTTAATGACCACTTTTTGATGCGACTTACCAGCAGGAATGATGTGGTGGTGACGTAGGCTACCTCCGCCCAAAACACAATGCGAGTGACGCAACAGCCAATTGCACCCTGGTGAAAAATAAATATGTTAAGTATATTAAATCTTAGCATACTTGAGCATACTTAAAGCCAGACTAATCATCAGTATACTTCAAGTTTGTTAATGATTATTTAACTTGAAGCATGCTATTTTGGAACAACTCATTTTGTACTTAATATATTTATTTGTAATTTAATTGTAGAAAAGCACAATTTGAAGTGGAACCACTCCAAGTTAATTTGAAGTATATGGCTGTATGTACTAATATACATGCTTGATCAATAAGCATTAAGTGTAGCATCTCTGTGTTAGAAGTACATTTAAAATGCACTTTGAATGTCGTACAAATATACAAGCATTATACTTTTAAAATATTATTATTGTGATGATAGTATGCTCAGTTCTACTTTGGGTTTATTCAAATTAGTAAGAAAGTACACTTTTTAGCTACTTATCAATATCTGTTATTACTCTGCTAGGCTACTTTTTGGTTAGCATGTAGGCTACCAGTATACTGAAGGCCGAATTAAATAAAGGACTACTCAACACACTTTCCAGGTGAAAAAAGTACACCTGGTCAATAAATACAGTATATTCACATTTTCAAAAGTACATTAACAATACTTACACAGAATTGTACTTTGTGAATATAAGTTTACTATACTAACATTATGCTGATAACAATTTTCACAATAAAACTTTACACACTTGAAAAAGAAAGTACACTTTCTAGTAACTCATTATGAAAAATATCAGGACAGAACATTGTTTTAATTCAATGTCACTCACAGCATTTCAGTATTACAAGATAACGGACAGAAGAAGTCGCAAACCTCTGGTTGAATTTAACTTAAAGGGTTAGTTCACCCAAAAATGAAAATTAAGTCATTAATTACTCACCCCCATGCTGTACCAACCCCGTAAGACCTTCGTTCATCTTCGGAACACAAATGAAGATACTTTTGATTAAATTTGAGAGCTGGATAACTCCTCCATAGACTTCCTAAGGGACTGGCACTTGACGGCCCATAAAGTCATTAAAGAAAATGTTTAATTCCATGTGCCTACAGCGGCTCAATTATAAGTTTATCAAAAAAACATAAATAACGACTTTATTCGACTATTCCATTACTTCCTTATGGGCCTTGAGACGAGAGTTGAAGAGATTTCCAGAACGCATGCGCGAGAACTGAGATGAGGACGTTCTTCTTCGACTACTTCTTGTTACCGGCTGCTCACCGCTTAGGAGTATTATTGGAGTATTATTATTATTAGGAGTTGTTATTTATGTTTTTTCCGCACAAAAAATATTCTCTTGATAAACTTATAATTGAGCCGCTGTAGGCACATGGAATATTTAAACATTTTCTTTAATGACTTTATGGGCCGTCAAGTGCTAGTCCCTTACGAAGTCTATGGAGGAGTTATCCAGCTCTCAAATTTAAAGGGGGGGTTGACTGCTTTTTTTCTTTGCATAATTGTATTTATGGGGTGCAATATAACATTTATTCGTGGTTTTTCTTTTTTTAAAAGTCTTATTTTTCATAAACTTCAGCTTTGTTGTCAGCCGCGCTCTCCTCTGTCCTCGAACGAGCGGTTCACTTCCTGATTCTATGAAAACAGTCCCTCAGAAACATGTCGTGGGCTCAGATTGGTTAGTTTGGCCCGGTGTGTTGTGATTGGCTAAACTGTCACTCATGTTGTCCGGAAGGTTTAACGCCCATTACCTTTACGGGCGGAACGTGAGCTCCGGTCCAGAATGTAAATATGTGTCGAACTGCAGTATCAGTTTGAGGCAGAATCAGACCGAGAAACCCGCGATGGAGAGAGTCAAACAGAACCTCACCACACACGGCTCTTACTAAACGTTTCTGAATGATAATAATTTGCTACATTTTTTAACTTTTTGCATGTTTGTTTTACACAATAGCATCTGACTGACAACAATAGCAACTGACTGGCTACTAATGTCATACTCAAACAGCGTTGGTACGAAAATAACGTCATAAAGCATGTGATACATGAAAAATACATTTAAAACATTAGTACTTATAGAAAATTAAGATCCATAATGTTTGTACGAGTTTGTCGTGGACACAAAATAGCATAGGCTAACTAGTAGTGGCTATAAAGCCAGCGCTGGCATAAACACAAGGCTAACGTTACGTCTGGAATTATACATGCAAATACATTTAAAATGATGAAGTCTTAGCCTACTTACAGATTGTGGCCCAACACTGCTGCCTCTTGTTTTAAAGTCGGAACTGCTTCATGTTTCTTGTTGAATCCGGTGTTGAACTCGTGGAGATTTTGTAAGCTGTCTTCCGTAAAATGCGCAGCACAGAGGGCTAAATTACGATTTTCATTTTCAGGAACATAATCAAACATAAATTGTATCCATTGTTGGCGAAGTATAGCGTCCATGGGAAGCCCGAAACACAGAAGACCTGACAGCTGCGTGAACAACACACTCGACGAGTCGACATGCCTCAGAAATATACGCATGCCATTTTCTGCATATTCTGAGGGAGTGGTTGATGCAAATGTGTAGGTTAGTGACTACCATAACCCAGCTGTAGTCCCAATCGAGTCGTTTTTGTAGGCAATTATACTTCCTGATTTTTAAAGTCCCCGTGAACCGGAAGTTGCAAACGATTTTTCTCCAGTGCTGTGACGTATTTCCAAGTGAAACGGAATATTGAACAGAGGGCAGGGTTTTACTCTAGCGCTCCTCCTCTCCATCTCTCGCTCATAGTAAACTAACGGTTTGAGGGGAGTGGTTAAGCGTTTCCCCACCCAAGCTGTGAAACGTACGTCATCAGAAAAAGAAACCGTTTCAGACCGGAAGTAACTTTTCAGATTTTGATTAAAGATTACCAAGGTAAAACATTTTTTAAATATATTTTTACTTGCACGGATTAATTGTTCACCACAAGACTAGTAATATGCGCTAACAAAGTAAATAGGTTCAATTTTGATTTCACGGGGACTTTAAAAGACGATATCTCTGGTTACATTGAACTTTCAGCGCTGCAACTTTGCAGATACTGTTCATGCACCAACAGCAACATTACACACTATTTAAAATGAAAATAGTGAAATCACAGTCAACCCCCCCTTTAATCAAAAGTATCTTCATTTGTGTTCCGAAGATGAACGAAGGTCTTACGGGGTTGGTACAGCATGGGGGTGAGTAATTAATGACTTAATTTTCATTTTTGGGTGAACTAACCCTTAAAGTGGCCAGACATCCGCATTAGAATTGCGTTTTCTTTCCAATTCCAATTTTTCTTATAGCAGCTGTCTGAAAAACAACAACTATTAATATGAAAAAAAAGAGTTATATATGCATACATAAGGTTGTCAGGCTTGAACTACTATAAACACCAATCAACACACACTACCATTATTGGTCAGCTCAAGACAAAGTAACTTGTTCATAACATGTATTTTTCCCCAAAACTTTTCAAAGAAAGAAGATCATTGACATAATGACACCAATTTTTTCAAGAAATCAGAAATAAATACACAGCTTCATTTTGCAAATAAAAATAATGTTGATGCAATGTTGTACATGTTATAATGACTAATTATTTTTTGTTGCAGATGCATTGGACAATGTTTTATATTTGTATAAGACAAACAAATGTGTCCACAAAGATTTTTAAAACATTTATAAAGATTAAAAATCTAAATAGTGATCTTTTTATTTAGCAAAAAACTAAAACTTACCAGTTACTTCTAAGGCTGCATCTTCATCTCTTCGAGTCTGCTTCGACGTCACTTGAAAAGCTTGGCTATGATTGGTCAAATTGAATGTAGCTGAACTGAAAAAGACTTGTGTCAAAAATTATACTACTGCCAAAGACAAGTAACGTTAATGTAATAGAAATCTTACCTAGAATCACAACATAATGAGGTTCCAAATGTCACACGCCATGCAAACTTGAAGAAGCTGGGTAAAATCAACACTATGTCTTCTCAAAACACTACGTTTCAAAATGTTAATAACAAAAAATATCACCTAATCCATATGAATTTCGTGGTTTCTTCCTAGTCCTCTAAAGACCTCTGAATCTAATCACAGTCAAGTAACATTTACGCACAGGAGAATTGACTATGTGCACGAGAAAAATGCTAACTTCCGCCTTGAGGGCGGATGTTGGGTACTTCGGTTCCGGTTGCCGTTGTTTACATCCTACATCAGTGGACCGGCTATCTAAAGCTTAGCTATCTAAATATATTTGTCTTAAACTATGTTCGTTTGTTCATTGTCAAGTCAACCAACACAGTTTTCACTCATATTTGGGTGGAGCCAGGCGCTGCTGCATTGTGAAAAGTAAACGATATTTCACATTTTGTCACCGCACCCAAGCAGTGGCTTCACAGAGTGGAGCGTTGCGTATCCATGACAACTAGAAGGAAGTTTTTAGGCTACTAATTATTTATTATATTATACCCTTTAACCAGGAGAAGCCCCTGGGTTTAGAACCTATTTTGAAAGGGAGACCTGTTTAGAAATATGTGTGAACAGCCTAATATGTGTTAAACAGCCTAACTTGATAACGAACGAACCAACGTCGGATACCTTTACTCCCTGTATGACATGTATAGTGGTTGTCAACACTGATCTATATGACGATAGTGGTTGTCAACAACATAGCCTCTGAACATCATAAACAAAACAATGGCCAACACAAACTGTTCTGGAAAATGCACTTTCTAACGCATGATTTCGCATTTTATAATGTATAGAGAGAACAGTTACCAAATCGCATAGCTTGAGCACGTAGCATGGCAACATTAATGTCCGAGTGATTCCACGTGTACCGCGTATGTACACGGCGTCAAATGTCCGAGCGAAACAAAACAAAATGTAGATCTACATCTGGGGAGCGATATTTATTTTTTCCTGGTAGGAGTGACGGGTAGGTTGGGGTTGAGGTAGGTCATATGCTATATATATATATACACTGTATATATATATATATATATATATATATATATATATACACTGTGTATATATATATATATATATATATATATATATATATACACTGTGTATATATATATATATATATATATATATATATACACAATAACAACGTTAAGTCAACGGTATTCATAAACACGCTGAAAAGAGATTATGCGTGTTGATAGCATGCCAAAAATACGTGATACGTGTCATACATACGCAATTTCATGAGATCAGTCTGAGCATGGATGTTGTTGTGACTTAACGTTCCCTTCAAAATGATGCAAATACTGAGAAATGTATTATTTTAACCCCTTATCTCTTGCTCTGGGGAGCTGGAGGAAAATCATTAGCCAGTCGATGAACATAATCGACTGTAATATTCGGCAAATGTTCAAGACATCTGGAGAAACATACATCCTCTACTAGGTCGTCCATCAGGCTACCGGAAACTAGACACCCCATATCGGTTTCGCAGCCGGAACTAGCATATGCTAACGTGCACATAGGCTGTGTCTGAAATCGCTCCCTATTCAATATATAGTGCACTACATCGGGTGTCGGCCATTTTGTAGTGGTGTCCGAATTCTGAGTGAACGACATCATTCCCTACATTCATTCACTACTTTTACCCACAATCCTCTCTGAATTCGAGTGTACATTCGATGTACACTCGCTGAAGCCCTATTTCCCACAATCCAATGCGGAGAGAACTGAGCGCGCATGAAAGTTCGGCGCGAGCAAGTTTAAACCAGAGATTACATTACATCCAGTGGAGGATTTGAAAAATATCCGTTAATCGTCGTTTTGAACATAATAACGGTCGCCGGAGGGCGCTCGACAACACGTCATCTGTGAACGTGAGAGTTGATGTACAATTTCAGTCGATGAAACTACAAAGCTGGCACGGAGGTATAATTACAAAATAAAGTCATTATGATTGTTATTGTTGTTAATATTATTTTAAGATAAGTTTTATCAGTACGCGTGACGAAGCCTTTTCTGCGACAGCTCCAACTCTCCGACGCACAGTGTAAACGTCAGCGTCCGAATTCACTCACTTCATCTCGTTCACTCCTTGCAGATATAGTGCACTCAAATGCCATACACTATATAGGGATTAGTGAATGAGTGAACGAGTGAGCGGTTTCAGACACAGCAATAGTCCAAAGTCCTTTCAGGCGGCGCGAGGCGAGCTCATTATCATAAGAACCAATCACAACCATTCAACGGCTCTGGAACCGTCTGGAACCAATCGGGACTCACGTGTAAGTAGTATGCTAGTGTTTGAATTTAAACAAGTACACATACAAACTTTTTTATCATCTCTGGAAAATGTATCTGATCAAATTCAAATAATATGATGTTGAAATCCTTGTGGGAATTTAAACGTAGCATGCAGTGGACAACATCCTTTTAAGAAGCCCTTTACAAGTAAAAGTGAACATCAGTAATTTTAGGTATGCTCATTGCAATGCTTAATATAGTTGACAAATGTTTCTAATACATTACAATTTGGTACATTGTAAAAAAAAAAAAAAAAAAAATCAATAAAAAAAATATATATATATTTAAATATTAAAATGATAAATGCATACATTTTTTAAATATATTGCAGCTGGCATACGTGTTTATGAAGTTCATATATTTTAAACCCACTAAAAGCTTAATAATTTTGCTATGTTCTTACATAAAGTACTCGAAAAATGTATTTTTAAGTAAGAGCAACATAAGTGTGTTTTCTTTAAATGCACTTATACTTCACTAAAATTATGCTTGTGTTTGCATATTTCTTAAAAATATAATTAAGCATGTATTTATTACCAATGTACTTCTAGTGCATTTGTTAGAAATATGTTAAAAGTATACTTGTGTTGAGCATATTTCTTAAAAGTGTAACAAAGCATATATTTGGAACAAATGTACTTATACTGCACTTTTTAGAAATATGTTCAAAAAAAGCATGCTTGTTTTCAATATACTTTATAAATACTAAAGTACAATTATTTTAAAGTGTGTTTTTGTGAAAATAGGTATAAAGCATGATGCTAATATACTTTTAATGTATTTAAATATAGCACATTTTTTGTTAGTATATTTGCAATGTACTATTAAAAAAGAGAATATATTTCAAATACAATAAAGTATACTATTTTTTCACTAGGGCAAGTTTGCATGAATTTATAAACATTTTTTTTTTAATCCGTTTATATATATAAATACACACACATGCATGTATATTTAAGAAATATTTTCATGTATATACTAGTTTCTCCTATGGCTGTTTTGACACTTATTTTATTATCAGTGTAGGCCTACTGTCGTCGATAAAGGGAGACGCAAAATGGTGCCAGGTGCTTTTGTCTTAATAAAAGAAAAAACAAAGACATTTGTGTCAGTTTAGGCACGTCCGCAAAAACGGCACACAATCATCTGTAATTAGAATAACTGGTTTTGTAATGCTACAGGTCCAATTGAAGATGATATTCACCAATGATTGCGAGCATGAACTCGACAATCGACTACTGTGGACTTCGACCGAAAACAGGAGGTAAATAGAGGTATGTGCTCTGGCTGAATTAACATCATTTTCATCAATATCTTTCACATCTACTGCCGTCAGATTGACCGTGGTCACTCTTAATAACACGACTCACATGGCTGTGCACTTGTAATGACAGATCAGATATGTTAAGAGGCTAAAAGCAGGTTTAGAACATGCCCCATTGAAGTCAACAGGGTGCGAATTTTAATAAGACGATAACACGGTGTAGGCAACATCGATTTTTGTCATTTTTGTCTGTACTGACAGCACTCCAAATATACAAAAAATTAGCTCAATGTTAAAATTGACCGGAGTTCTTTAAATATTTAAACATGCTGAATTACAGCCCATAAAAATGCGCATGGCGATTAGAACCTGTAGAGGGCACGTTTAATTGTATAGCTGAAATTACCAAGGTGACGTAGTCGTAAAATGATATCAACTTAATTGTTGTAGCAATCTGTTCGTTCAGCACGGGTATCATTAGTGCTCTGCCCCATCCTAAAACCTTCGATTTGCGACGCTAAACTCAAAAGTTGGCAGCCCTGTATCATTGAATAAAAGATTATAAAAACATCTTGCTTTTAGGAAACGTATACAGCTTGAGACACCAATAAGTTGAGCTGAAATCAATTGAGAGATATTTTATTGGACAAAGTGTTTCAAAACAATGACAAAAGCAATAGGCTAGTGTGTGTTTACAACATAGCCTAGCCCTAGAGCATGACAGGACTTTAGACATTTGCAAAATCAATAGAAGATGTCATATTTACATATTTCTGATGTCAAACAATAAGAATGCAATACAAAAATACATTTTTAATAATGACTGATTAGATGGATCAGCCTTTTATCATGGCATCGGTAATAGTGGCATCTTCCTCCAGGTCCACAGTGATTTTCTTGCCAACCAGTTTGAAGATGTTCTCTGGTCTCATGCCGTGCGGTTCGGCCACTTTTACCGTCAGCATGTCGAGAGTTAATGTCTCGCCCTTCTTCAATGGTTTCCGGGCCACCACTGACTTTCCCAACTGCAAGAAAGAACATAAGCATTGATTGAATGACGTTTGATCGTTTTTTGGTTTTATAATCTATCAGAATGAGCGTTTAATCTGACCTTGCTGTGACAGGACGCCTCACAGGGCAGCATCTGTTTGACCGGAGAACCCATTGCCATCTCAACCGTCCGGATGGCTTTCACCAGCTCCGCAAGCTCCGCCGGCTCCAGTGATGCTGCGTGGTCACTGCCTTTCCAGCTCTTATCCAGGGTCACGTGACGCTCCAGGACCTTCGCCCCGAGTGCCACAGCGGCCACAGACACATGGATGCCCGCCTCATGTCCCGAGTAGCCAATGGGAATGTCCGGAAACTCCTTCTGGAACTCCTGTGTGGGAAAAGGGTAACAGACGGACTTCACACTATCACTAAAAATCTTAATGGAGAACGAGTGTAAACTCCAGTTTTGTTTTTAATTTTTTTTTTTTTCATGTAATGAAAATATAATCTAAATTTAGTCAATTTTAAATGTCATATTAATTCATAT